AAATATTACAATCGTAGTCATTGAAGAGTTCTATCCAACGTCTCTGACGCATGTTGAAATCATTCTAAGTGAATATGTGCTTCAAGTACTACGATTGCAAGATTTTGTATCACATGGGCTTCTACATTTTAATTTTATTTCCATAAAATTTTTATATATTTTTTTTGCAATGACTAGTTCTTACAATTAAATTATTATTATTTATTTACAAAAACACTTACAATGCATGTAGCCTCTTTATATTAGGTGCAATAACCACAAGAGTTTCCTTGAACATCTTTTAGGATTTAACAAAAGTAGATTTATCATCATTTTTTAGTAAATATTTATATATATAAATAATTATGTGATATTTATATACTAGTAAAAATATAATTGTTTTCCTAATAAAAAAATAACATTACTAATTTTATCATACACAGAATCTAACTGCAATCTACTATCTCATATAGATATAAATATCAATGGCTAATGAATAGTTAGTATAGAGAGTTTTAATTATTTACCATAAAGCAAATATATTAATAATTTCTTTATATATAATATTAATTTTAAATAAATTAATAAGATAATATATAGTTATTATTTTTTTTTATATTTTATATATATGTTATACGCATGTTTGATTTAATAGAATTAATGATTTAACTTATTAATATGTTAGTAGAATTGTAGTGATCATTAAATTTTATCACCGTGATAAAGTTAAGTTAAAAAAGTATTTCTTAACAAATAGGTTATCATAACTAAAAGATATAATATATCTTATTTACTTTTTTTAAAAAGTAGTGTATGATCATATCACTTATCTGACATTCACTATAAATACACATATAGTCCATATGAGAAAATTATACTCAACACAACAAAAGGTCTAAAACACCCATGAAAATGAGGTTTTCGTCCTTAGTTTTCTCTCTCTCTTATTATCTCTTCGTACTTAGTTTTCTATCTCTTATTATCTCTTCCACTTGGTAGCTCATCAGCTGAGCAGTGTGGCCAGCAAGCTGGGGGTGCCTTATGTCCTGAAGGCCTATGTTGTAGCCAATATGGTTGGTGCGGCAGTACAGATGAGTATTGCGGAGATGGGTGCCAAAGCCAGTGCCATGGCAGTGATAACAACGATATCAAAAAGATTATATCAAGATCAACATTTGATCATGTAACGGCCCCAGAAATTAAAAAGAAATGTATAAATTGATTCTAAGTGCGGAAGCGAAATAAAATAGATTATGATTAACATCCCTTACACAATAATCAAAACGAATTAAATGTATGAAAGAATAAACTAACTAAAGAAAATGCTATGAATGAATACTATAAGGAAAACTAATAAATTCTTAGGCTTCTACTCGCCGTCTTCTTGCAGAACGGGCTCGGGAACCAAGTCTTCCTGATTTGAAATGGTTAAGTAAGGAATGAGCTATACAAGCCTAGTAAAGATATCACACTATCTCACTGTTACAGAAGTAAAGGTTGGTAGAAAACAAAAACGACCAATGGAGCATAATTTATAACAAACTCATTTATCAATAATAAAAACTTTTACCGTTCACTTACCTCGGTGAGATTCATGAAAACAACTTATGAGAAACCATAACATCATAAACATCATAACATCATGCACACTCTGTAACATAATACATATCATACTTTTGTATTTCAATCATCAGACAACAACTTTTTTATTTTATCAGCCTACTAGTATTCATGGGGATCCATAGGGGGTTCCCACTACACGTGAACCATTCACATTAATAACTTAATTCCAGGGTCGTCCCCATACCTCGTCCGGTATGGGCGCCAAAACCATAAATTTCAATACCCCGTCCGGTATGAGGGTGAAACGGGCCGTC